AGAGAGCTCGATGTTTTATTATAACAGAGCATATGTATTTTTTACAGCAAAAACAAAAATCACCTCAACATAGAGGTAGTCTATTTCAAGCCATTCTGTACGCAGCTATTATCCAACTTATTAAGCTACAAACAACGAAAAGGTCCTGGCCATAAATAAAGTGCAACTCCAAACCGCTTCCCCCGGGATAAGATACCTTACGTCCCACCAATCGCTAACACAAGCCCATAAAGATAGAGGAGGTCTATCCTCTATCTTTATAAGAGCCAGATCAGGCGTAAAATGGAGTACTGCTGGCCAGTCCCCACTTTCTAGTCTCGATGCAATGCAAAATCGTCTCCGCATACTTGTAGGTGACAAATTATTTCGCACCCAGCAACCCCCTCTCAGACAAACGGGATGTTTGCAAGACTCTCACTTTTCTCTCGCTACATTCCTTGGTTCCACCGGTTGTAAACTTTAAGGCTAGGACTCGCCATGCCACTCACATTGTAGCAAACCACCCACATTCTTACCGTATTCCATGTTGAGAAGTATGTTCCACTCGAACAGCTTCCTCCCGGGAACTACTGTGGAACCGACTCCTCAGAGTTTCCCCGATCACTACAATCTTAAGCTGTTCAAGTCCAGGATTAACCGTTATCTTCTCTTATCAGCATAAACTGCCTCAATGTAACCCTCTATCTCGACAGGCTCCCGGGTCTTGTACAGGGTGAACCTTTGTTATATAATATATATATATATATATATATATATATATATATATATATATATATATATATTGGCTATTTTTTGTAGTGATTTTATAACATACTTATGTTATAATTTTTTATAAAAAATAATTATATATATATATATATATATATATATATATTAACTGATTTAAAATATGTTTTTTTTTTTCTACACAGTTCTAACCATGTTTCAAAAATTAAACATGGTTAGAACTGTGTAGCGAAAAAAATATTTTAAATCAATTAATTTATAATATTAATGCTATGTAAATTTACATCGAGCACTATTTTGTAAAAATAAAAATATCTATAAGAACACCGGATTATATATCTTACTGTTCTTTCTTTTTATTTATATACATACATATACATACACACACACATATATATATATATATATATATATATATATATATATAATTATTTATTTAAAAATATGATTCCAAAAAAAATTTCGCTTGAAGATGGAACAGAGCTTACTTTAACTGAATTTAATTTAAAATAATTATATTGAAGTTTTCGGCTCTTGTTTTGAAACATGAGACTTCTTATCTCGCATTTTGGAATCATATTTTTAAATAAATAATTATATTTTTAAATAAATAATCATATTTATGCTCTACTTTTGTATCGAGCACTATTTTTTTAAAAATAATAACTAAAATACTAAGGGACTTTGGATTATTTACCTAACCAGTTCCTTCCTATTTTCTATATATTTTTACACACACACACACACACACACACACACACACATATATATATATATATATATATTAGCAGCAGGTTTTCATTGAAACATGTTTCGTTGAATAATTTAGACATGACTTACAACACAAAACTCGAGTAAATACTCAACGACCACACAAAATTCAAAAGATTAACAGAAATCCAACCAACCAACTAAAATTAAAAATTAACCATCTTCTCACTGCTAATAATGCCGAACACGACAGCTTAAAACTTCCTAAAATCGTCGGTGATTATTGGCCCGGTTACATATATGGCACTATAAAAATACACAAACAAAACTACTCTCTCCGTTGCAAATTCTCACTCCTGTGTATCAATTAACAAAAATCATCAAACAACTTATCAAACCATATCTTCTTAGCAAATACAGCATAAAATCAACTCAAGTAATTCAAATTCTAAAAAATGAAAAACCTAACAATGGAACCATAGCCTCACTCGATGTCGAAAACTTATTCAGTAATGTCCCTGTTTGCGAAACTATCAATATTATTATAAGAAAATATACAATAATCCATCTCTACCTACACTTAAAATTAGATCTAGTATATTACGGAAACTACTGCTAACTTGCACTACCGATGTCCTATTCTATGATCACAAAAATAACACACACACACACACACACACACACACACACACACACACACACATATATATATATATATATATATATATATATATATACAACGGGATGGCGTCTCTATCAGTTCAGTTCTGGGTCCGACTTTTAGCAATTTCTATATGTCTAATCTCGAAAATAATATATATAACAATTAAAAAAAAACCCTCCATCTATCTAAGATACGTCGATGATATCCTTATATTAGTCAAGAATACGGAAGAAATACATAATCTCCAAAAACAATTCCAGGATAATTCTGCCCTTAAGTTTACATATGGACATAATAATAGCAACAAAATTCCTTTTCTAGATATACTGATAAATACTAATAACAATAAGTTCACTATCTACCCATATAAAATGACCTACCAGCATACATTCCTGTAGCCTTAATTATAGGAGTGAATGTCGAAATTACTATAAAATAGCAAAAAAAAAAAAAAAACAAAAATAAAAAAAAACTAATAAAACCTGCAAAAATTAATTAATCCACAAAACAGTTTTTCTACAGTGAACTAAAAATATAAAACAAATTTTTATTAATAATAACTTCCCTAATTATATTGTTGATGAACAAATAAGATGTTCTATCAGAGATTTTTATATGAAACAAATAGAATATAATACTTCTTTAACTAACCCCAAACATATCAATCTTTATATCGCAACCCGATATATTCTAATTATAAACAAGACTAAAATACATTATTTACATTATACTGAAGACGAAAATATCCTACAAAATTAATAAATACCAATATATATACCACAGATCCTAGTAAAAATAAAATTAATCATATACTACACTAAATCTAGTATATCTAATACAATCATTCCTAATGACTTTTCCCCACCTACTAATGTGTTACAGAAAACCAACATCGTTTATAAATTTAAATGGCCTCTTGGAGATTGTATCTCCAACGGTGAAAATAATATTTATGTTGGACACACTACGAAAACGTTGTCTCGGCGGCTAAGTTTTCATTTGAACGATATGTCCAACATTTACAAACATTTACAACAAAGTACCGTCGAAAATACTTCTATACTTTCCATGAAAAGAATAAACATAAACTAAAAATTCTCGAAGCTATATATATTAAAAAACTGAAACCAAGCCTTAATAAAATTAATTATGAATACTCCACAAATGTTTTAAAATGTGTAGAATAGATAGTTCGAAATGCCAAGGTTTGCACTAATAGTTTGTACTAATAGTTTTTTACTACTTATTTCATAAAAACTCTTCACAACTATACTTACCTCCTCTTTAACAGTGTCAGCGATCAAGCATTGATTAAGTGTCCTTCACTCCACAAGTAAGAAATTTAACTTTCACCTGAACACAACAATTTTGTCTTCGAGAATAATGAACATTACAATATTTGTCTTGCAATAAACAACAAAACTCTGATGGTGACACTGTGCTATGTCGAAAGTACTCGGAATAAAATAAGTATGTATCAACACAGCGATTTTCTCTCGTCGTTCAATAACGTCACCAAAAATCTTATCCGTGAATATGAAAGGATCCAATTGAAAATAAGTAGACAGAACATGTCTAAATTATTCAACGAAGCATGTCTCAATATATATATATATATATATATATATATATATATATATATATATATATATATATAATGGATTAAATCCGATGGATACAACTTATTTAAGTAAATGCTCTATTTTTAAATTAAACGGTATTAATTACAATTACTGGCCTGGATATTAAATAAATAAATCCATAAAAATAACGTATAAACAGAAAATATATTAAAGTATTTGTCGGATTGAATCCATTAGATATATGTTTTCATTGTTTATGCTAGATTACGTTTCGGAACAGAAATGAATTATCAAGATAGGTCGTCGAATGTGTGTGTTTATAAGCAGCAATTTGTGCTTTGCTAAACCGGAAGTTCTCTGTGGTTAACAGCACGCCAGGCTAACTAAACGATTGTTTCCCCATGAGATACAGGTTTGATTCCTGTCGAAGGTCGCAGATTTTCTGCGAAATCTCTCGAATATCCACGCCAGTAAATGTAATTAATACTGTTTAATTAAAAAACGGAATATTTACTCAAATAAATTGTATCCATAAAAATAACGTATAAACAGAATATATATATATATATATATATATATATATATATATATATATATATATATATATCCATTATGTGGTGCAGTTTAATTTATATTACAATGAATCATTCATACAAAAAAAGTAAATTAGTGAAGTTAATGAGATAAAATGGCGAAGTCACTTCACTAACTAAATTTTAAAAATGCATTAACACACTAACCACTCGATTAATTTTATTATCTTTATCTTTTAAAAGTATAAACTGCATTAGGTCTTCCTTAAATATACAAGTACTTTCGACAGGTTTTCCGATCATCATCAGGCATGGAAACTATTTCCCTGACGATCCGCTTAGGTGAAAACTAGGTAGGTTTTGTCTGACTCACTAGGTTTATCTAGGTCTGCTCTTTGTATTAAGCTCTTTAGTTAGTTGTTTACCTCGTGTTTTTTCTTTGGCCTTTAAACCTGTATCTGTGCGATTTTTTTGCGACAGACTTTCATGTTTCTAGCTCTTTCTTTTTTAAAACCTTTTTTCCTTCGAGATTGATTTGATTATTAGCAAACTAAAAATTCTAAGGTTTTTCGAGACGAGTATAGTTACCTATATATATATATATATATATATATATATATATATATATATATATATATATATATATATATATATATGCTCAATATCGAAGATAGAGCATTTGTAGATATAGAAAGTGTGGGCATAAGAATTAGTACTTCATGGTGACAATCTGCTTCATGTTCCAAGTGATATCTATGCTTGAAACTGACAGTCAATATGCAGTGTTGATTCTTATGTCTATACTATCCATATCTATCTATCTATCTATCTATCTATCTATCTATCTATCTATCTCAAGCACCCATTATCTATCTATCTATCTATCTATCTATCTATCTATCTATCTATCTATTAGATTGGTGCAAAAATAATGATGTAATAATGTCGTTTTTTGATGTTAAAAAATACGTCAAAAAACGACATTATTACGTCATTATTTTTGCACCAACCTAATATCTATCTATCTGTCGATTATATTTTAGAATAAAATAATATTCTTCTAGTCATTGCAGTAACTACAATTCTCAACATGTTTCCTATTATTGTGGCCTTGTACCAAACTAAGTTACGCTTAGTAAATACCTATATACGTATTATTTGTAGATTGGTAGGAAATCTTTTGGGGTAGGTGGCGTGAGAGAAAACAGAACCTTTAAAATTTCACCAGTTAAAATTAGTGGGGACCAAACCAGTAACAACAAAAATAAACAAATAATGGAAGAGAAGAAAACAAACAAATAGCCTTCATAATTTGACAAGAATAACAATAAATATATTGCAGTGAACAGGAGTAAAAATAAATAAAAAACGAAACAAAAAGTAATTGAGGTCGAGTCGTATGACGATTTGTGTCGCCATATTGTCGGCTTGTAATCTTGGCATCAAAGACACACGGTACCGATGATATTTCCAGTTTCAATAATTGTTGGAATCGGTAAAAGTTCAGTCGTCACAATCTGTATACGGGGTGAGGGGTAAACAAGGAATGTAGGCAACAGGGATATTAGACGCTTTTGACTCACCAGCCCCAGCTCCCCACGCCAAATCATATGTAACGGTTATTAATTGTTTTTACTGTAAAATGGCAACATCCACCCTCTTCCGTGACGCTTGGCTCAGCGGCTAGAGAAGCAGACAAGTAGTAATGTAGCTTGGGGGTCCCACCCAGTAATTTAGCATTTGTAATTTAAAAATTTTGTGCGTTATCTATGGAACAATATTCGTATATAATAGAATTTTAAGAAAAATTCTTTCGATAAAAGTTGCTTGGCTTCAGTGTATATATAGGTAATAGTTTTACCGGGAAGTGTTCTGACAGAGGACGGTAAGTGTGACCCTGAGATCCGAAGACGTATTGGGATGGCCAAGGATGCATTCCAGAAGCGAAGCAGTGTATTCAGAGACATAAATTTCGTTAGAAACAAAGTAAAGAGTACTGAACTGTTATGTCATATCTGTCCTCCGGTATGGCAACTAATGCTGGACAATCTCGTCAAAGATGAAGAATCGATTTGGAGCAACAGAAATGTGGTTCTACACAAAGATACTGAGGATACCATGGACCGTAAATGTGAGCAACGACGAGGCATTGGAGAAAATGGAAACAAAAAGAAAACTTGTACATAGCATCAGGAAGAGACTGTTGAAATTTCTGGAGCGCATCATGAGGTAGGAGGACTTGGAGAATCTGATACCCACAAGACAGATTGAGGGAAAGAGTGTCAGAGGAAAGTAGTGCGTAACACTTGATAAGCTTGAGTAAATTTAGGGGTTTATGAGAAATAACAAAAAAAAAAAAAAAACTTATTAAGAGCCACATTGATCAGGAAGATGTGGAGGGCAATGATCGCCTATGTCCTGAAGGGACACGGCACATAAAAGAAGAAGGCTGAAGTTCGTGCATGCACTAAAGGGTAAACAATTGAAGGCTAAGCTGTCCTGAAAAAAAAAACCTTAAGATCATCGAAGTTAAACTGCATTGAATTTGAAAAATAATTAGATGGGTAACCTAGGTACTGTAATCAGTTTGTAGTTTTGTGCTTAAGTAAATCCTTTTAAATCATCCAAAAGGCGAGGCGTAACCCTTGATATTAACTCATCTTACTTCAAGGATTGATAAAAGCGGGAATTGTGCCTGATTTCACATATCTCTTAATTAACCTTCTCGGATTAACGGTTTCCGCTATCATGACGTGGAAAGATTATATTGAATCCATTACAAGGTCAGCTGCTAGAAAAGATGGTTCACTGTGTTGTGTTAGACAATTTTTCTCGCCAGTATATGTCTTACATATTTATAAGTCTACAATTCGTCCATATATTGAGCATTGCTATCAAATCTTGACTGGTGCTTCTAATATGAATTTAGAGATTCTTGTTAAAAAACAAAAGAGAATGTGCATCGTTATCGGTACTGACCTGGCATCTCGGCTTCAGTCACAGTTTGACCACCGTAAAGTAGCTTCCTTGTGCCTTTTCTATAAATAGTTTCATGGTCATTTTTTTGATTTGTGTTATGGGACCTTACCCATAATAACATAATGGACTATTCCATACGTAATAAATACTGCGCCTCAAGAGGAAGCAGGGAGTTCAGTCTGAAGTCGGGCGACCGGCTGATCGGCTGATCGGTTGAACTCTCGCCTTCGGGCGGGGAGGAACCCGAACGAGGCTACGACGAAGGGCGGAGTCACTTTCGGGGAGGTAAACCGACCCTGAACTCGTTTATACGGGTTCAAAGGGCATATTTTTGGCCTTGTGCCACATGATGCCCTCGTGGGGGGGTGACTAAATACTGTTCAGTCTGAAGTCTGGAGTGAAGTCCGTCAGGAGTCTGTCAGTCAGTCAAAGCGAGCGAGTCAGTCAGTCGAGTCAGAGGCAGTCCGAAACAGAGTCGCGTTCAGACAATTACTATAAGACATTGGAATAGTGATACTGGTCGAGACTACATTGTTCTCTCTACTAAACTTGATTGTTCGTACTAACACTTTCTACTTCTCTGTATATATTCCTGTTTGTAATATATTTGTGTTATTCCATATCCGTGTTCGAGTTCTTTATTGGTTCTACCTTGGACCATCACCCTGGTACAAGGACCTGGGCCATAAAAATTACCTTTCCCCTTTGTTACCTCGACTTTACAAATTGGCAGCTAGGTCTCATCGTTTTACAGTTGAAATATCTAGATGTAACCGTAAGTTCTATGCTAACAGTTTCTTCTCTCACGCTTCTCTCTTGTAAAACTATCTTCCGGCTTCTTGCTCTGCAGTCAATATTGATTTCAAAAATTTAAATGCAGCGTTTGCCGTTATCGTTTGTCTTCTTAATTCCTGTTCTTTTTTGTTGTTGTTGTTCTATCTTCTTAATAATGCTTCTACTTTTTCTCTTATTCTTTCACACTCAGTAACCCTCTTGTGTCTTTATTGGCTTGCTTGCTATGCTGGTCCGTGATAGTTCTTTCAGTAGCTGATAAAAAATGTGGGACGCCGACCTTACATCCGGGTGTTTTTGTCGAGGCACCATCTCTAGAAAGACTGCCATCCAAGGCTAAAGACTTGAAGTGACTTATCTCGCGCTAGACAACAGCTTGAAATTTGAATTTCTGCGGACATTAGTCCTACTGTATGGATCAGAAACTTGGACATTATCTGCTTGACTTGAAAGACGACTGGATGAAACATATACATTTCTACTTAGAAAAATGCAGAACATCAGTTGGAGATCCCATACAACGCTTAAAACAATTTTCAGAGAACTAAGACCAATCTTTCTTAAGCTCAAACAAAAACGATTGCAGTTTGCCGGCCATTGAGCGGACAGGGAAATCGTCCCATCCTTACTCCTACGGCATCTTACAGCTATACAGGACCGAACAGTGTGGAAAGGGATTATCAATGGAGTTCCGACCAACTATAGGGAGGTCGAAGGTTATTGAAGATGATGTTGGTTCATACATCATTTCTTAATGAACAATATCAAACAAGTACAGACGTTTAAATATCTGGGAAATGTTTGCACAATAGATAGAAAGTGCGACATCAAAATCAAAGCCTGAACCCGTATTATATCAGCGAAAGATGCTTTCTAAAAGATAAGCAAAATATTAAGAAACAGAAATATTTCGTTAGAAACAAAGCAGAGAGTCCTGAATTGCTATGTGATATCAATTCTCTTATGTGGCAGTGGATACTAGACAATTTCTTCACAGATGAAGAAACTGTAGGCAGTAGAAATGTGGTTCTACAGAAGGATACTGAGAATTCCATATATTAGTGAATAATTAACGAGGACATCTTAAAGAAAATGATAACAAAAGGAAAACTTATACTCGGAATCAGAAAGACAGAATTGAGATTTCTTGAACATAAAATAAAAGAAATCGGTTTTGAAAAATTAAGTTTCACAGATCATATCGAAGACAAAAGAGACATCGAGGATGTCAAGGGGACACATATCCGATGCGAATAGATGGAGGAACGATAGCGGGTGACTTGGCAAAGTGAGAAAAGCTATTCAGGTTTGATTTGGTTTGGTTTGTTTTACAGCATATCAACCTCAATGGTTTATTTAATGACGACAAAATTTTTATTGCTGGTAATATTCTTTTTCCAAAAAATGTATTGCTGGTAATATATATATATATATATATATATATATATATATATATATATATATATATATATATATATATATATATATATGTGTGTCTGTGTATATATATATATTCAAAATGTATTGCTGGTAATATTTTCCCCAAAAATGTATTGCTGGTAATATTTTCCCCCAAAAATGTATTGCTGGTAATATATATATATATATAGTTTGAGCGGCTTGGTGATAGTAATTGTGGCTCCTGGGGCACAGTACTATGGTTAGAGAGAATCTCAGTTGAGTTCCACCACGGAATATGTGAGCGATCGGCGCTATATTGAGTCTGATTTGCTACCCTTCGTCACCGAGGCCCGGTGGAAGAGTTGGTATGAGGTTTGTTTGACAACCTAACTGTCAGGGTTTCAATTCTCGGTAGTAGATGCGCACTGCTGATGAGTCCCAAATATAGGACGAAAAAGCTGCCCAGTGCTTTCTGCATTTTGTTGAGGTTTCTTTCAGACTCAGTGAATTCAGTTTTAATTATATATATATATTATATATATATATATATATATATATATATATATATATATATATATATATATATATATGTATGAAATATACTATAATAAATTGTTTCTGCCTCAGGCCGCTACGTCCAAAAGGCTGCCTTGGTTTGGAGGTTTAAAGAAAAAACAACAAAGTTAATGTTATATTATTTCAATAAGTTTCCTTATTTTACTGCAGGAATAATAGCTGGTCTCT